GTGCACTAATCACTAAATTCGACTTAAAATCAGTAAAATGCATGTAAACACCCACTTGCACGAAAACAAAGATAATTTAGTTACTGGCGTTAGTACTTGCTCAAGCTACTTGCACCGTGTAAATGAGGCTTTACACACATACTAACATAGACAGTGGCGTCCCCCCCCTCCAAAAGACTTGGAACGCAAATAAATATAGTTTAAAAAAACTAAAATACACGCTGGGGTGTTTGGTTCCACATTTCTCATACATTGAGCACCCCACGCTTTTTTGACAATAATTTTAATATTTTTTGTTCATTAATATTTTCTGTTTATATTAAAAATTATTTTTCACTTTTTAGTTCGATGTATCAAAAGCGTGTTAGCCCCAGATATTTCCAGACTTTTCCAGACATTATTCAGACTTATTCAGGGATTTCCAGAGTTTTCCAGATTTCATCCAGATTTATCCAGACTTGTACAGACTGATCCGGATTCTGGAAAATGATTCCCAGGTCTTTTGGAACCTTTTTCAGAATTTTTTCCGACCCCTTCAAGAAATTTCCAGGCATTTTCCAGACGTTTCCAGAGTTTTCTAGACTTCATCCCGATAAATCCAGACTTGTTCAGACTGATTCGGATTCTGGAAAATGATCCCCAGGTCTTTTGAGACCTTTTTCAGATTTTTTCCAACCCTTTCCAGAAATTTCCAAGTCTGGAACGTTTCCAGACTTTTCCAGACAATATCCAGACTTATCCAGAGTTTTACAGAGTTTTCCAGACATCATCCAGATTAATCCAGACTTGTTCAGACTGATCCGGATTCTGGAAAATGATCCCCAGGTTTTTTGGGACCTTTTTCAGAATTTTTCCAACTCTTTCCAGAAATTTCCAAGTCTTTTCCAGACGTTTCCAGACTTTTCCAGACTTATCCAGAGTTTTACAGACTTTATCAAGATTTATCCAGACCTTATCCAGACTTGTACAGACTGACCGGGATTCTGGAAAATGATCCACAGGTCTTTTGGGACCTTTGGCAGAATTTTTCCGACCCTTTCCAGATATTTCCAGGCTCTTTTCAGACGTTTCCAGAGCTTTCCAGAGTTTTCCAGACTTTATCCAGATTAATCCAGACTTTTTCCAGACTTGTTCAGACTGATCCGGATTCTGGAAAATGATCCCCAGATCTTTTGGAACCTTTTTCAGATTTTTTCCAACCCTTTCCAAAAATTTCCAAGTCTTTTCCAGACGTTTCCAGAAATTTCTAGATTTTTCCAGACAATAACCAGACTTATCCAGAGTTTTCCAGAGTTTTACAGACTTTATCCAGATTTATCCAGACCCTATCCAGACTTGTACAGACTGATCCGAATTCTGGAAAATGATCTCCAGGTCTTTTGGGACCTTTGGCAGAATTTTTCCGACCCTTTCCAGAAATTTCCAGGCTCTTTCCAGACGTTTCCAGACTTTTCCAGACTTCATCCAGATTTATCCAGACTTGTTCCAGCTCACTTGGCTTGTTCCAGGTTCCTGTTGTGTGTTGTGTGTTTGTATTAATATAAGCGTGTTAAAAAAGTGTTGCTTTTTCGTTTAGTTTCATCGGGTCGCTTTTTCGTTTCATCGAGTCTCAAATCACTCCCAACGATTCTAAAGAAGTTTTCACTTCAAAAATGACTCCACTCAACATTCCCTATCTCACGCAGAGCATAATTTTGTTTTAGTTTATATATTTTCTATTTATGCAGCAAATTAGACGTAGCAACTAGGTATCATCTAATATGTCGATGTAAAAAATTCTAAAACCGCCGCGGCAGTTAGTCTATCATCTTACAAGGTAAAATCACAGAAAATATATTAAATGCCCGAGAGAATCGCGCAACGCTGTTAAAATTTGTTTGCCGAAAAGCTAGCGCGAATATAATTTATTTCAATTTATAACACCGGAGCAGCGCCTCGAGCGGTCTGCCGTCGCCCATAAGCGTAGGTTTTCTATAGTTAACTATAATATTCTTTGCCATGGTTTATCTTTTCCAAAAAAAAGAACTACCGCTTCATCAGGGTTTAATTTTAACTGATGTTTCTCTGAAATAGAGACCAGTTGTTGAAGGTCTTCTTCAATTAGACTTTTAGCTTCCTGCCAGTTTTCAGAATGAAATGAAAAATAAAGCTGCCTATCATCAGCATAATTATGGTCCGTACAGTGGTTTATATATGTTGACAGATGACATGTATATATTGAGAAAAGCAAAGGAGCTACAATTGAGCCTTGAGGAATTCCACTCATGATTTGCGTCTTTTCTGATCTACTATTTTTTGTTTCTATAGAATATGGAAATCGTGACTGACTAGTATAGAACACAAACTAGTGAAAATTTTCAAGATTGAAAATCCTCTTCGTGGGGTTGCAGTCAAAGTTTTTTGGACCAGGGACAAAATTAAAACATTTGTTGCTTAGTCAAGCTTTCGGCAACTCTTTATTGCCTTCTTCAGGACAGCCTAAAAGTTGTACAATATTTCCTTGGGATTTTTTGTTTCTGTATATTGATAACGTTCTGCTGAAAAACCTATAAAGTTGAGTATTGACAACAGTAGTTGATGGCTAACAGTGTCAAATGCCTTAGAGTAGGCCAGGAGAATCAAGGCAGTGGTCTTCCCCATATCAATTTCCCTCAGTATGTTATCAGTAACATCAGCAAGTGCAGTCACGCAGCTATGACCTGGCCTAAAGCCAGATTGTTGTTGTGGTAATATTTCATATTCCTCTATGTGTTCCCTGATTTGTTTATCCATAATTTTCTCCAAGATCTTAGATATGCAGGGAAGTATAATTACAGGTCGCAGATCATTATATCCCTCTGGCGTATTTATTTTGGGCAACGGTTTGACCTTCGCTACTTTCCATTTGGCAGGAAACTTACTTTCTAGTAGACAAGAGTTGATGATATTAGTGATGAAGGGGAAAATTCTTGGACAACACATAAGTAACATCTGTAAGTTAATCAAGTCTGGATCGGTTGCTAACGATTTTAAGTTGCTTAGGTGTGTGTTTACCTCATCTACAGAAACAGTTCTAAAAAAGAAAAGTGATTGAAAATTTGTTTTTTTATTTTCACTATAAAACTGCAGAACATCAGGGTCGACCTTAGACGAGACTCCAGAGAATTTAAGAAAGACATTATTTATTTCTTTTGGATCATCCAGCTTTTCTGGAAAATCATTTTGTTCTGAGTTGTATCAGATTTCTAATTGCTTCAGGCGTTTCCAAAGGAGCTTCTGATCCAAATTTCTAGTGCAGTAATCAAGATAAATTGCAATCTTCTCCCGTTTGCTAACTTAATTGAATAGAATTACTATCAAACTGAATACCTATCAAAAGGCAAAATGACTGCTTATGTACAAATGTTTGAAATCTCACATACAAGTTATAATTTTTTTTTCAATGCCTATCACACATATAGGTTTTTCTGACGAGGATGAAAATGAAGAAGAAATTAATGAAAACGAACATTTTGGCGATCTATCAGATTTGGATGACTGCAATAATGATGATAATAATGGAAAAGGTGACATCAGTTGTGATGGAAGTGACTCTGAAGTGATAGATAACAATGAAAACGATAATGATGATGCTGATGATAATAATGACATGCTGTTTTTGATGATGTTGATGATTAAAACTTTTTTTTTCTAAAGATACAATTTTTTATTGTTCTGCCTTATCATATTTAGGTATCTTAAAAACCCGGTTGTCAGACGGGAGAAAGTTGTTTGAACACATAAACATTTTTCGCAATTCAACAATAATTGTGCAACGTATGTAGCTCATTGCGGTTTCTGCCATATTGAGAATATGCATATTCTCATAACTATTTCACTGAAACAAACGGCAGACGGGTTAAAAACGTTCATGATATGAACAATTTTTGTTCCAATTTTGTTCATCAATTATAAGAACTTGTATCAGCCTGCAATTTCTGCCAGTCGAAATTTAAGCTTTTAGTAGTAGCTAATTTAATATAGATGATTGGCAGATGGGAAAAAATTGATCTCAACTTTGAAAAATTTTGACATTTTTATTCTTTCTGCCAATTGTTAATATACCTTGGATACATCTGCCAATACATTTCTTGGATTTTACTCTGCATGTCAAACTTATCTTCCAAATGGCAGATGGGAGAAAATTGTTTCAACATCTCAGCATTTTGATACAACTTCAAAAATTGTTAAATATTAATATAACAACCGAGATTTTCTGCCATTTCTTTATTAATCTCATACATCGTAAATGCAACATAAATTTAATTTGGCAGACGGGAGTTCGTTGATCCACATGTCCAATTTTGGCGACATTTTGAAATTAGTAATATGACACTTTATACTAACCTAGGGTTTCCGCCGTTTAGCTTCCTTGTACTCATTTTTGTTTGAATTACCTTCACAATGTGTGGCAGACGGGATAATATTGATCCAAATCTCCACTGTTCATTTAATGGCAGACGGGAGAAAATCATTTTAAAAAAATGGTCGTTATGCACCGGTCTATTATGGGTTAATTATTTGATGTATTGTGACACAATATGGAAAGAAAAGATTATTCCTATTATTATAATTACTTATAACGCTCCTGATAAGACACTTTGCAGATTCTACTTTTTTGTTAGTTGTGCGCTTGGCATTTTGGGTTTGGTTGCTTGGTGTACGACGTACATGAGCCATAATATACTAAGTTTAATTTTTGTAGGTAAGTATTCAAAAGCTGAAATTTATTGAAGGTAGCCATTTAAGCAATAATGAAAGTATAACAGCATAGATATGATAAACTTCACATATTAACATAAGCAAATAATAAACGTAGCAAATAATTAGCAATAAAAGAAAATTAAGCGCCAATACACGATAAAGAAATGTCGATAAGCTATGACATCATAAAATACGCGATTTTGTTGACTATCGGTGAAAATAGTTAAAACAATGCATTTAAATATTGTCAGCCATAACCAATGTTTTTTTTTAATTACCTGTTGGAGTCATGGGCAAAGTATGCTCAACTCCTAAAAATAAAAATCAATTACAAAAATGCAAATCACATATAACAATTCAAAGTGTGCATTCCATCAAAAATAATGTGCAATTCTATTTTACATAAAACTTAATGTGCAACTAACGATAATTTGAACAAGAGGGATCTCATTATAGTTATTTATGATATAAGTGCTAAAAGTGACATTTTATTTTGTGAAAAGGGAAGTTTGGGACACGACGCCGAAGGCGGAGTGTTCCATCCCTTTGAACAAAATAAAATCACTTTTAGCACGAATGTCATACACTATTTTTTCTACAAACGCACTAAAAGTGATTACTTTTAGCACTAGTGCTAAAAGTAATCACTTTTAACACCAGTTTCATAAAATGGCATTTTAGACACTGACAGCATCCGTTAAAAATGACACTTTTAGTGACGTTTGTAGAAAAAGTTTATTTATTTCTATTATAATTATTGTAATACTGAGATATTATTCCATAGTCAATTGTAGCTACATTCAATAATAGTATGTCTCAAACCTGCTCATAATCTCCAAAATAATGCCCCACAATGTTTAGAATATAGATAAAAAATGTGTAAATTAATTTTATAACTAGTAACATTCTGATTTCTCACCTGTAGATTCTGGTTGTTCATTTTGTTCAATAAGCCTCCAAGCCGTTGCAATTGAATGCACAGCATATCTATGTAAAGGCAATAGCAAACGAAAAACATTGTCTGCCAACCAATGAGCAACATATTGAGAAGAGAGGCTTTGTTTCTGATGAAAACAACCATCAACCACAGCCTGAAAAAACATTTTTACAAAAACACTCGAATGTATTACTTAATTATTTACTTTGAGCGTTTTATTTATTGACAAACACATCTGTGGACCGCCTGAGTAATGGTCCATGCTGACAACGTAGGCGCACATAAGCAGAGCCGAAAACTGTTCTGATGTCATTTGGTGGCTACCCTTTTCTTCACTAAACGTAGACCACATTTTAACCCAAATGTCTAATATGACACTATCATCTAAAATCTAAAATTAAAATTCACCAAAGGTTTTGATTGAAAAGAAAATTATATTGTGAAGAGTACCGAATTCACAGATAAAATAATAATATGCGTATAGGTTCATTTATTTAATTAGGTTGAGATATATTCATTATTATATTATGCACCTGTTAAAGGGTACTTACTGCTAAGTACTTTTCGCATTGTTGCCTAAAACTAGACGTCGGAATGTATTCCTTTGTTGACTTTGAATTTTCCAGGAAATATTTGAATAGTTTGTCGGCAAGCTGGGGATATTTTGGGAACAAATACCGCTGAAAATAAGTTAGAGGAGAGGCCATTTTCAAATATGGAAAATTTACAAATTCATCTTATTAAAATAAAACTTACATAGAAAACATTTTGGGTTACTCCATTGACATTATCTTCTGTTTGGGCTTTTTCTGTTAAAATCTGCAAAAAAAAAGGCTGGTAACAATATAAGATGAGATGATCTTCAAGTTGTTATTTCCATAATCTTCATTTAAAAAGGTGTTAAATTTGTAATAAATCATGAGATACTATTATTTGCATTAATGTCTACAGATATGTTCGTTCAAATTGAAAGGTTTGACCTCTGAATTATTTGTTTGCATTCACATTTGAAGGCTATTGTTAGCTTAGTAGTTATTTCAATATCTAGCGGAAACTTTATCCGCCACTACTATCATAGGGGAAGGTGAAAACAGGATCAAATATGGAACTACTCGTTAGACTTGGCATATAAATTTCAATAAACGCAATCCAGAAATTTTGTTGAGACGCTGAAGGAAGCTAGGGCAATTATTATGAGCAGAGACTGCATAAGAAAATAGTTTCGAGGATACAGTCAATTCTACTGGGAGACATTTATTAGATGACTCTCATAGAATATTCAATGGGACAAGTCAGAACATACTCAATGTCCTGTATTGGGACCCAAGGCATTCAAAAACCTATACAAAATTTAACTAGGAAAAATCGCGTTCATTATATGTATTTAATTCTGCTGGAAAAAATTGATCACTCCTAGTCCTATTTCTATATGTCAGGCCACCTAGAGCAGAAGTGGAAGGTATGTCTAGTAATTGGTATGTAGAAAATCAGAGAGATGGATGATCTCTCAGGAATGTTTCAAATAACTTCATAAATGGGTGCTATCAAAAAACATTACAAAACAAATAATTGTATTTATGAATGGGTTCCAATCTCATCGATTCTCCATTAAAGTCAAACTTCTAAGAACTCAAAAGGCCACGCGTGGTCAAAAATGAAAGCATCCTAACCTTCACGAACCACTTCACAACCTTAGCCAGAGTAAGCAATACTGCTATAGCCCTCAAGTTAGGACAGTCATGCTCACTACCCTTAGCTAGAGTAATGATCAATGCTCTCTTGAAGCAAGACAAGAAAACTCCCAAAACAAAAGATATAGGTTAATTGTCTCATCAAGAACCTGCCAAGCAACGATGGATAAGGCCAAAGACATCCTCAATGAAAACCCATCTCTAAAACCTATCCCAACCTGAAGCACCTTTATTCATAATATTCCCGAGCTCTTCTGCATTAGGTAGTTTGGTTGGACCAAAAAAGAAAAATTAGGCCATCATTAAATGTTTAGGATGCTTGAAGTGGCCCAGACAAGCTGAACCAAACTACTACCCCTCAGGTCATTCAAAAGATTCCCTTGATCTATAACCAAGTAGTTGATTAAACCTAAGTAGTCCACTTGGCAAACCTGATCGATCTACAGGAAATCCTGCAGTACCCATCAAAATAATTTAAAAAGGTTAAATAGTTCATTGAGTATGTTCTTCTGAAGGGAGTGCATATTTTTCCCAGAAGTTTGCAGACTTTTTCATGTTTCATGCATGGAGTCGAATGACGTTCCAACAGTAACCACAACATCATTTGACTCCAATCTGTGGCAAAAAATCTAAATAGGAATAAAACACTACCTTCAGACACGACACAAATAATAATTTGGAAAAAGAACTGAATTTCTACAGGAACTAGAGTTACCAATTATAGATATATCCCAAATGGACATTAATCAGACAGAAACTCATCACGCTCAAATGTTTAAGATCAACCACCTAACTCTGGGCCAAATTTATTTGGAATCCAATTTGGCTCCGAATATATTTTTTTCAATTTGGCGGATTTTTGTTTGAACATAAGGGGGGGCCCTTCCTTAATATAGAAAAAAATATCCTTGATCATTGCCTTTGGGGCTGTTGCAAAATTTAATTTTTTACTCTAAAACTACATGAATTATTTGAGAATATTAAGAAAATATTGGAGAAGAGGCTAAGAAATTTTTTTTCGAAAAACTTCAGGTTTTGTATTGGAAACGTATTTTTTTTCGAAAACTTTGTTAAATAATGTCTTACACTTATAATAATAATAATAATTAATAATGTATGGTAATATTATTTAAAAAAGTTTTTGAAAAAAGAACGTTTTTATTACAAGACAAGCTGACCCGGCGAACTTCGTACCGCCTCTGAATTATTAAATATACCTATTAAATGTTGTGTTAACGTATCTATTACCTGAATTAAATTCAGTTTTTTTCGATGGTGAATTTGGCTTTGGTTGAAGAAAATTAATGTTTACTCTCTGGATCAGAAGGCACCTAAAATTAAAATTTTACATCATCCTTTTTTAGGCAGCTTGTGGGCATTATTCTTGTAAAGTGTACCACCAAATAAATAAACTCAGGCACAGGAATGTTCAAAGAATCTAAAGAAAACAAAAAAAATCTCTAGCGCAGCCCTATTTCACTCTATCTGCACTGCATGCACTGCACTACTCCATCTGTTCTACTCTATCAGCACTACTCTATCTGACCTACTCTTTCTGCACCACTCTATCTGATCGGAATAGTGGAATAGTTCTGTGCAGCAATGTTCTACTGTATCTGCCATGCCGAGCTTCGTTCCAAGTATCAGAGATGGCGCGGTATACAAAATACAAAATAAACTTGGTATCGGTTATAAGACATGGCGCCGTATGCGGGCTTAGTAAATTTTTTTCATAAATAAATAAAATAAGTAATGAAATGACCACATTAATGACATGACAACATGCTGGTACTGTCAACGCTGAAAAAAGTTTGAATTTGACAGCAAAATGATGATCCATTTATTGAATAATTAATTTATTACAAAAAATGTGATAAATGAAGAACCACTCGACCGATTTTGTGCAAACTTCACATAAACCATCTAATAAATAGTCCGAACAAAGCATTTGGTTTGGCTAGGTGAGTCCGTTCTTGAGTTATAAAATTACAACGAAAAGTCGAAAAGTGGCATTCATTTTTATATATATAGATCTGAAGTCTTCGAAACATTTTTTCATAGCCTTTTCTCCGATATTTTTTTAATATTTTCAAATAATTTATGTAGTTTTAGACTAAAAAATTTAATTTTGCAACAGCCCCAAAGGAGATTAAAAATAAGGTAAAAGCACCAATAATTGACACAATAAGACTCTCTTATGGAATTTAAATGTATCTTTGGGGACCTAGTAATTGACACCTGTTATCCAATTATTGACACCCCACTTATTGACACAAAAACTTTTTTTTCTACTGACATTTTATAATACGCTATTAAACGATTAAAATCTGTATTATAATGAACTTCATTACGATACAGATTTTCATTATAATACTCATTTTTAATATTATACAATGTTGATAGATGGCAGCACTAGTTAAGATTTTAAACATTTTTAACGGTAATTTTGCTTAAAACAATTATTTTGATAACTATAAAAAATACTTCGAATTGTTTAAAAGTTACCTAAAGTTTGGGACAAAGAATAATTATTATGGAAATAATGAGTGATAAGGAAGAATTTTTACTTTTGTCATTATTATACATTGTCAATAGATGGCGCCACCAGTTAAGATATTTTGATTTTTTTTTTTTTTTGAATGATGACAGCACTCTGTTTATGGCTTTTCCATGGTAATTTAGCGAAAAACAATAATTTCATGAAAAAAATACTTCTAATTGTTATTAAAAGTTACCTAATGTTTGGGATAAGGTATTATTATGGAAATATTGAGTGATAACGAAGAATTTTCACTAACACCTCCAGAAATTACAGAAAGGGCGACAAATGCAGGTAATAATATACTAGCGGACAAGTCCAAGAAAATTTGCGAAAAATTATATGGACAATTTATGGATTGGAAACACCAAAAACACATCGTCCTTCTCAGAAAATGTTTTGATAGTATATTTTGAAGAATTACAACAAAAAATGAAACCTTCAACTGTATGGATTACTCAATTATAACATCTCTATTCAAAGTTAAGCGTAATGTTGACATATCTAAATATCATATCAAGTTTTATCAATGGCAGTAGAAAAAATAGTGTATGCAACTCTCATGTAATGGCCATTAATACACTCGCATGTTATATACGAAACTCGCCTGCGGCTCGTTTCGTATCCTACAACATGCTCGTGTATTAATGGCTATCATTACATGATCATTGCATAATATACTATTTTTCTCTTAGTACATGAGTATATAAAATGCGTAATAATAAGCCACAGCTACTAGAACTTCATTCATCTGCTCTTTGGAGTACTTTTTTCTGATGTCGTATCAGTAATAAATGAAATTCCAGTAATTGACACCCTGTGTACCAATAACTGGCATCCATCTCAATAACTGGAACCAGTGATTTTTTTAAACTCATATTAAGATGTGAGTACAGTACGATGTAAGCGCGCTGCCAAATATTAAAATGTTTAGCTATGATTGCGTTAAATTTGTTACGAGATCCATTCATTGACAAATCAGTCAATAATTGGTACATGGTCATAATCACTTGATCCAGTCTTTGACACCCATGCCAATCTCAATTAACGTGTTTTACTAATAAATACACATTAAAAAACCATGCAATCATACTTAAACTCTGCCCTCAAACATATGGAATAAATTAAACATTGATCCATCCATCCTAAAAAAAAAAAAAAATATAGAAATTTTATAAATCCCAACATCCACAACACACGTTATGGACATAATTTACCATTACCAATACCCAGGAGTGGTTTTACCAAAAACTCTTTAATGTATGAAAGTTTAAAGATATACAATCATTTGCCGGATGAGTGGAAGGGTCTCCATGATCTTAAGAGTTTTGTAAAATGTGTATAGTTTAGAAGAGTTCTATAAGGATGTTTTTTAGTCGTTTAATCTTATATTAATTTTTACTTTGATTGTTTTGTTTAACTATTATATCGAGATTTTAAAAAAGTATTCCTGTTTTTGTGTAAATTTTTGTATTTTAACTTAATTTTATCTAATCGAAATAGTATTTGTAGTATATTTGAACAATAGGCATGATGACAAATTTTGAAAAACTATCCTATAATGTTCGGAAATGTATATTATTCACAAT